CCGGTCGATGTGAGCTACGAAATAAAGAAATTCGAGTTGAAAATCAAATCGTTCGATTTTTACAGCAGACGTTCAACGCGCGTCTTTCATACATCTCGTGAGATCTCGCAATTGTACGGAAAATCACCTATTAGCCTATGTACTGCCATTTTGTAAAGTGTTTAAAAACGTTGGTGAATATTGCTTCATTATTTCATAATTTTGTATTTTAAAGATTAATACACATATAACATGTCAGAAATGACATTTTGAATCAATAATAATCATAACTGATTCAAATTTCAAAATTCAAGTTTATTTTTAATTAATACTGTACCATATTTGCTCTATTAGTAACACATATGCTTACATGAAATTTTCTACGGTCAAAATAAGTAGTATTTTAATGATCCAGTATACAGCCAACACAATTTTTTGTTTTTGGAGTTTCTATTGGAGATGCACTTTTAATAAATAAATATGGAACACTACTAACTGGGTGCAGACAACTAAACACGACTCTCACTGGATATTATAAAGTTTTAGTAAAATTCACAATTAAGAAAGGAAAGCAATATAAACAGCAAACATTTTATATATAATGAAAATTTTAAAATCTCAATTCCCTACATTTAAATTTACTACTGACATAGGGAGCATGGAAATCCCCCCCAAAATTTTAATCGCATGCTCAGATTATCTCAAATTGATAAAGACGATAATTTGACAATAGCCAAGTTTCCAGGTACCAGGTTGCTTATTTTTTGGGTTTTTATTTCACAAAATGCATTTTCATTGTGGTCGATGGGAGCTGCTGCTAAATTGCCATTTTAAGCATAATATTTGACAGTTTGAAAAAATAAAAACATGTTGACAGTGAATTAGAAAAGACCACATAATTGTTGACTGATAATAACAATTCTAGACAGTTTTTAAAATATTGTCACTGGTACATCGCCAAAATATGCAAATATTTCATTACAAGCATTACATTAAAAGAAATACTGTGATTATTTGTGGTCATTTATTTTTTAACTAATCTGATGTGTACTCAGGCCACAATGTAAATATATAGCATTGAAGAAATTAATGAATGACAAAGCATGGACAATCCCCACTGCAGCACAGAATACTCGCTACTGCAGCACAGAATACCAGTTACTGCAGCATAGGACATTCCCACTGCAGCACAGAATAATCGTTACTGCAGTACAGAATACCTGTTACTGCAGTACAGAATACCTGTTACTGCAG